GGCAGGCTCCTCCCCCAAGCCTCCCCCACGCCCATCCAGGGTGCATGAACCACCCACGCAGAAGCTGCCGCATGTCAGCCCTCCCCCACAAAGAAACAGTGTCATGCCCCTCCCCAGCCCAATAAATGATTCCTTTTCATTTAGAAGTGGCTTTTGATTTGGTTTGGGGTGCACAGAGGGAACTTAAAGAGTAGGTGGGAGATGGGCTGGGTAATGCAGGTCTGGGCAACAACTAAGTTTCCCAGAGTCCCCAGTAAGGGGTTGAGATGTGGCTCAATAGTAGAGCCCCTGCCTGGAATTCCCCCATGGGACCTGATCTTTTGGCCTCTTTGGGCACTGGGACAAGTGTCTATCTTGGTTTCCTTGACGACAAGCATGAACAGCCTTCCCAACTAGAATGTAAGAGAGCAACAAGTTTGTGAACTTGAGTCCTAGAACCCAAGGGAGAGTGTCCTGGGTATGCAAGGTGCTTATGATACTGTTTTCATGTGTGAATTACCAGCTCTGAAGCCAGACTGTGTGGGGTTTGGGTACCCTGAGGCTAGTGGCTCAACCTGTTCCTAAACTTTGAAAGGGCCAGAAAGATGTGCTTTACTCCCTCAAAGGCGCTGAGGAGACAATGGCTTGCCTAGTATATAGTAGGATCCTTTACTTCTCATTGCACAGTAAATACCCAGTCCCTAGGAAGGATCTCACATATTACAACAGCCGAGAAAGCCCCTCACACTCTGGCCCCCAAACAGAAACACAGCCATGGTGAAGGATCCAGTCAGGTGCAGTTTATTTCTTCAGTGCCTGGAGCATGAGGGACCTGATGGGCACATAGATCTTCCCCCATACAAGAGGGCAGGACACTGGGAGAGGATGGAGGTCGCCTGCCTGCTTTCTGCAGGGGACAGGCCTGAAAAACGGGAGCTGACAGGATATGCTTCCCATCCGAGCTCATTCTGTCCCCTCAACAAGAGTGACCACCCTTGCCTCCCTGCAACCTAGCTCCTTGGTTTCGGGCCTTGATTTGGAGTCCCCCGTGGGCGGAAGTTCTGGGGTTCCAGTAGGGTTCATCAACGCCAGAAAGTGCCAGCGGGCAGCATCATTTCAAAGTGCAAGCCAGGAGGGACACTGGGACAGGCTCTGTCCTTGGGACATCTAGGGCAGACTGGGTCACTGGGGTGTGGCAAGGGACGGAGCCTCAGGCTCCTGGGGTGGTGCGGGCCCACGCTCGGCCCCCTCTGCTTCCTCCTCATCAGAAGCCACGCCTTCCTCCAGCCTGAACACCTGGCGCACTGTGCGTGTGGTGAAGGTGAGTGGGCCACGCCTGTGGGAGAAGAACGCACAAGTGACAGGAAAGAGGGGGTCAAAGATGCAGACAGAGATAAGAACACAGATGCAGAAAGGTAAAGATAAGGACAAGAGAAGCTAAAATCAAAGGCTGGTAAATGGTCAAACAGGTGCAGATGGCATGGCAGCACCTGAGCAAGACTGAAAAAGCTCAGGTGGGAGGTCAGGGTAGCCAGAGCCTCCTTCCCACCCCAGGGTTTTATCCGCAAGCTGGCCATCCAGGACAGGTCTTCTCTCCTCTTCTGGGTGGCACCAGCATGTGGGTGGCTTACCGGAGCCTGTTCCTCAGCGTGGTCACCTCCCGGTTCATGGACTCGGCAGACTCTGTGACATCCTCCAGCTCCCGTTGCAGTCGCCGCCGGCCAGCCTGCGCCCGCGATGCCTCCTCCTCTGCTTCCTCCAGCTGTCGCTTGAGCTGCTTCAGCCGGAGGTTGCCTTTCTCCAGCTGAGTGGAAAGAGGGCACCAGGTCATTCCCATGGTGTCCCCCAGTGCCTAGAGCAGCTGTGGTGACCTACTGAGACCGTCACAGTTATGGCAACAAAGTATGCAGAAGACATCTGGGTGTTGGACAGCTGAGACCAGGCACCTAGTAATCCATGGAACAGAGAACTCCTGGTCCTCCCCATGAGATCCCCCCCCCACTTCATTGCTTGTGGTCTTTGGGATGCAAGAGCATATAGAAGGCAGGACGGAAGTAGACAGGAACAAGCCTCTGGGGCTGCAGTGTTTGTGAGCCCATCACTCATGATGGGGTGAGGTTTCTTGGTGATGCACCTGTTTTCAAGTCACTCATGGTGACCCCAATAAACTCACTGGCTTACCAAGCTGGCCTCGTGGAATTAGTTCCTTGGCCTGTCAGCACCCCATCTGGTATAAACATGTGGCTCCTGTAAGTCTTGTGACAGCACTGGAGGGACACTCAGAGCAGGCTCCTTCCCCTTACAGTCCTCCTTTGGCTTCCCAGGACTGCTGGGTAAGGGGCCAGCCCTAACATAAACTTCCTCATGCCCATGTCTCTGAGGAACCCAGTGACCACACCAAATTCACCCTGATCTCCCCAGACACTGCCACCTCTCTCCAGGGAAAGAACACATATCATGTGGCTTCATTTGTCTAATGAGGTACAGGCTGGTCTTGAACTCATTATGTAGC